ACAACTTGTAATAATGGTGCCATAGGGACTAGTGTGTGTTCGACTGCACGGTGCATTCAAACAGCGTAACGGTACAAAACCTCACACTTAGATGCCCAATTGAAGTTTAACTTAAATTACTAGGCTGCCATCCACCTTCCAGTCCACAATCTCCACAAATTGGTGTTCAGCACTCCATGAGAAAAAGTATTATCAGCTACAAGGCATAAATTCGTTCAGCTTATACAAGAATACTGTAGTGCGATCAACATGGCATCTGCCATGTCAAATATGGCTCGAACGTGATAATTATTATCAGGTGGGAGTCAGCAAATAACGACTTCTGGTTCAAAGTCAGATCCACTGCGAGACCATAACGAAGTACAATGTCATGTACAGTATATTGGTGGGTAGGGTATTTATTTAACACCAGTAATGTACTTGTAACCACAACCAGTCGGTGTGGCTTATGCCACGATGGTCAAATTCACCGTCATGAGCAGGATAGAGGTCAGTATTTCGTGACAACAATCTGGATGCAGCTTATACCGCAAGTGCGGCTTATACTCCTGAAGATACGGTAGACCCCCTTTGCATGCAAGTGTGACTGTTGTCCGGGCCATGAGCCAAAACTAGATCCGACTGAGTGGATCCATAAGTCAGTGTTCTCATGACAACAGCCTGGTTGCCATGTACTTCAAAGTAGCACGTTCAAGCCCTATATCGTTCTTTGTGAATATAATCACGACCGCCCCAACTCACTCCCGGACACGCACTCGCAACAACGTCCACAACGAGTTCTTTGGCGAACAGTGTTCATATAATTATTGGAGAAGAAGCAGAGAATGTGGGAGAGCGAAAAACACAAGTTTGTTCCACGGCCAACTCTAAAAAACTAACTGGAACTGACGTAGTTCTTCGTTGTACGCACTGTACGCATGAGAGCACGCGAGTTCCATGCCAGCGCGCAAGCGAGCAATAGATGAACATGAAACAGACACCAGAAGTAAAAGGATCTGGCGGTGACATAAAGTCAAAGGGAATGTATTACATGTCGGGAGACCATCAATGAGCCATGGTAGCCGACGGGTGCAACAAGGAATGTAAGACAGAAGTTAGAGCAACGAATACCATGCATGCTCTCACATCACCCCTTAGTGACTCATGTCACTACCGAATAGCTACAATATAATCATGAATATCGAGCAGGTCGCACGAGCGTAGACCGGGCGCGCAATGATGGGCCTGCATCAGGCGGCGGCGGCGTGACCGGGGTCAACGCTCAATACCAGAGACGGAACAGGGCCCGACTCGGCTTCATTGCTGGCACCCGGAGCGACGGGCGGCGGCGGCAGATCGTCCTCGGCGGCACGCCTTAACAAGTCGACATTCACAATCTTGTCACGGCCGGTGCCGTCGACCCGATGAACCACCACCGTCGAGGGGCCCACGATCGACATAACTTGCCAACCGGGCTCGTACGGGGTTAGGCGCTTCTGGCAGCGCTGAGGCCGGCGAAGCATGACCGCATCGCTAACAGTCAAGCGGCTCGGTGTCGGCTCGTCGATGAAGTCGAAGCGGCCGAGCGCAGACTCGGTGTAGTCTCGCATCGCCGCTGCTCGCTGCTGGAGGTCGTCTACCCATGAGCCAGCCGAATACGAGTGCTGAGGCAGATCCACGACCAAGCCACGGGGATGCCAACCAACCATGGCCTCCATCGGGGAGACGTTGGTGGCGCTGTGTGGCCGGATCCGATAGTAGTACAGGAGCATCGCCAGCTCCTGTTCCCAGTCGTGCGCCTCATCCAGAACCTTCCGCACGAGGGGCAACAGGGTTTGGTTGAACCTCTCGGCCACGCCTTGCGACTGGGGATGACGTGCTGCGCCGTAGCAGACATGAACGCCAAACGCCTCGTAGACGGAAGACATGACAGCGTTCTTGAACTCTGTGCCGTTGTCGGATCGAACCACGCGAGGAGGACCCCACCGAGAGCACACGTCGACGAAAGCACTAGCCACACAGATGCCGTCATGACGCTTGAGGGGAACCACCTCGACCCACTTGGTGAATGCATCCACGCATACCAACACGCAGTGGTAACGCCCGGACCGGTTAACGCCGAGCTCGAGGGTATCGATGTGCACCACATCCCAGGGGCCGTTGGCTGATACCGGAGGAGTGGGCTCGGTCGCCTCTCCGCGGCGTGGGTTGGCGGCTTGACAGCTGCTGCATCCGGACACAAACGCTTGGCAGCGCTGTCCCATGCCCAAGAAATGGCACTGGGATCGAAGCAACTGCCACGTCGCCTCCCAGCCACTATGGCCAGACACCTGGTGGGCTGCACGCACGGCCCGCTCCTCCAGCGCAGCAGGAAGCACAGGAACGCACTTGACGTCGTTCGGCGGAAGCTTGACGCTGCGCTGTAAGACGCCGTCTTGAACTTGCAGCTGACCGCGGATGTTCCGGAAGCCGCTGTCAGGCGGGAGGTCATCCCCAGCGATCACTACGGCCTTCACTGCCTGGAGTGCACCATCGTCCTCCTGCCCGGCCAGGATCTGGGCCATCGACAGACTCGGCATGATGGCGAGGCTGGCAGCAACATCCGTCGCGCTGTTATCCGATGTGCAGGCCAGCCAGGACGTCGGAACGAGCGTGAGCTGGTCGGAGAGGTTCTGTTCTGACGGAACCCAGTCCACCTCCACGTCAAGGCGAGCTGTGGCGACGATGTCGTCAATGATCTGCAACCGACGCTTGACGAGCAGCTCGTGGAGCCCGCCAACCTTCACGCGGCGCTCGTTCCCGAGGATCTGACGAAGCCAGCCATGCACGGTCTTGGAATCCGTGTGGAGGCGGATCTTCCGCGCAGGCCAATTGGCAGCCGCGTTGAGGCCCTTGATGACGGCGTCCAACTCAGCGATGTTGATATGCCGTTTGTCGTCAGCCGGGCGCAGCCAGCTGCGGTCCTCGATGACCTCGCCGTTGACTTGCATCACGACACCCAGCGCGATTCCCGACGCATCGCACCACACGTGCCACTCCGTTGCGTCGTCATGCTGCACCGACCATACGCCACGCACCGGATCGTGCTCGTTGACTTGGGTCTGGAGGTCGCGGCAGAGCTGCAGCAGACGAGGTGGCACGGCGACATCCCAGCCGACGGATTCGCCGATCATCCGCTTCAGCCAATTCGTCGTCGGTCGCAGCCACGCACAGACGGGGTAATGGCTGACGAGCTTGCCACACCAGCTGAACACGGCGCGCTTGGTGGGCGCCTCTGGTAGCTGCAGGCAGACGTCACGGCGACGTTGCCAGTTGATCGTGCCGTCTTGAGTCGAGAGCTGGAGGCCCAGCACCCGAGCAGTAGGGAGCTTCTCGGCAGGCTTGCACTTCAGGCCGTAGCGCTCGAGCTGCTGGATCGTGGCCGCCACATGGGAGTCCGGCACACGCAAGTCGTCGACATAGTTGTCCACGCCGTCGAGGTCTTTGGTCACCCACTTCACGACCATCTCGAGGATCTTCGGCGCGACGTTGAGGCCGAACCCCATGCGCGTCATGGCAAACAACTCTCCTTGCCACACGATCGCTTGATAGCGGTACAGACGGGGTTGGAGAATTGGAGAAGAAGCAGAGAATGTGGGAGAGCGAAAAACACAAGTTTGTTCCACGTCCAACTCTAAAAAAACTAACTGGAACTGACGTAGTTCTTCGTTGTACGCACTGTACGCATGAGAGCACGCGAGTTCCATGCCAGCGCGCAAGCGAGCAATAGATGAACATGAAACGGACACCAGAAGTAAAAGGATCTTGCGGTGACACAAAGTCAAAGGGAATGTATTACAATGTAATACATTCCCTTTGTCATGTCGGGAGACCATCAATGAGCCATGGTAGCCGTCGGGTGCAACAAGGAATGTAAGACAGAAGTTAGAGCAACGAATACCATGCATGCTCTCACATCATTTCAAATTGATAGTGATAACCATGGTAGATGTGTGTACTTCGTAACAAAAAATCCGGGTGAGGTTTATACTCCGCAAAATACTTTATGTAAACATGATGTGGTGGCGACTTCGGTGATTATTTTATTGTACAGGTCTGCTCTCGATATAACAACTCTCACTTGTACATAAACCTCGCTAGTACATAAAAAAATCAAATCCCGCGCCGAAACAGCATCACTCCCATACAAATTTTGTTCTACACAACATAATCCTACATAACATAAACCACGACATAACACACGCTGCGGCGTGGTCCCCGACCTGCCCACTCTCGATACAACATAAAAAAGTGCATGGTACGATCAAGTGGTAGCTGTAGCTAGGCAGTTTAGGCCAGTTTAGTCCTACATAACGTAAACCTCGGCATAACTAACCCTACGGCGCGGTCCCCGACGTGCGCAAACTCGATACAACGTAGATTGACGTGTGCGGTACAATCAAGCTGTAGCCGTAGCTAGCCAGTTTAGTCCTATTGTGCATATATTCTGCGGCATTGATGGTATCTGATGTCGATGGTGGTACAGTGTGTATATGTTTGCATGGTTAAACCCGCCTTGCAATACCCTTCATTTTTTAGGTACATCTTGTATTTAGCACACGGTTTTCCACATAATATAACTCTCGATATAACATAAATTTTGCGTGGTCCCAGAGTTTACGTTGTATGGAGAGTAGACCTGTATTGATTTTTATAGGAAAGTTGGCTGCTCCCCACACTGGAGCGCTCGCTTTTCGGCTGACTTGACTTGGACGTGGGGTCAAGTGTCAAGTAAAGTTGGCAGAAAGTACGAGCTTCGTTGTGGGGAGCAACGGACTTGCTTACGTATGTTGTTGTTTTTCAAATCTCTATTCTCGCGATGGCCAATGGCCAGTAAGAGATATTGTTTGTTTGAATTCTTTATTATCACGATGGCACCATCGCCAATTGTTGTTGTTGTTGTTGTTGTTGTTGTTGCTGTTGTTGTTGACTATATGTGAAGTTCAAAGCACCACATCAGCGAAACCTCTTACCAGATCTCCACCGTGAAAATGCTCATACTCGGTGGCATCGCGAAAGCCAGCCAGCTGAAACCGGAATGCTACAGGGAAAATGGACAGGTCACAAAACATCGTGTACATTGTAGATAATTCTATGGGTTGACAGGCATAGTGGGGTGGTCTAAGATGATAAACGGAGGGTACAGGGTTCAAGTCCCCGGTCTATTCTCGAATCGACTCTTGGGCCTATTCTTGAATGGGTTCCTGAATGCGCTGAACAATCCAGATCAGGTCCAATCGTGCCAAAGGGCGTTTCAGGGCCGAAATACCGATTCCTAGATCTTTCGTTTCCCCTCCTAACACCCTTACTTATGTTTATCGCCATGGCTGGCTATCACCCACTTTCTTCACATTGGCCGCAGTTTCCACAGCATCTTGAGATGTTGCAATAAATATATTTGACACAGTACGACCCGCGCTCAAACCTTTTGTTTTGTTTCTGGTTTCTCATTTCTCATGAAGATGGATGCTAGTGTACTGGGAGAATTTCCAACATAATCTGGTGTGAGAGTCGACGATGAAGTAGAGCAGGTCCCGGCATTCTTCCCGGTATTGAAGTATAATTCCAGTTCCTTTGCGGATGTGCTGGAGTTTCTCTGGCACCAGTGCATGCAGTTCCCCAATCCCAATTATGTTTTAGTCTCGCCCACTCTCTCGATATTAGATGTACTGCACGGTCTACAGTCCATTCAGAAAAAGACGAGCGCTGGCTTTGGAGAGCTCCCATGTTTGGTGATTTTCGTGATTTTGTGGTACACCGTGCAGTGCCGCGAGATTCGAAACTTGAAAAAGGGTTCAAAAAGGTGCCTCAACTGTGGTTCGAACTACGAATGTACTGTTATGCAAGTGCAGTGAACGGCCTGGATTTTCATGGTTTTCCCCTATTCAGTGCTTTGGGGGCAAAACCAGGCTGAACTCCTATTCTCGTTATGGCTTGCTCTTCGGAGAAATAGACTTCAAAAACACAATTGGAAGCGCATTCCATGGGGTTTGTCAAATAACTTGTGACAAAACTCAAAATTTGACCCATTTATGGCCAAAAGCTAAGAAATCATATTTTTTCTGAATGGACTATTGTACTGTCTGTATTGTAGGAAACCATGGGTGCAGCTGAGCAACTGTTTCCCAGGACCGCGCACTGGCGACACTGCGGGCACTGGGTGCACCACCCAACGTTAGATACATTTCGTCTTCGTGACCTCCTTCAATCTCCTTTCCTGCCATGCAAGAACTGTATCCTCCTCAATCGCATGCAAGTGAATTACTTCAATGGGGGACGGGGAGGAATGAGTTGTGCAAGCCGAGGTCTCTTACCGTCTTCGACTTCCTCGTTCCAGACTATTCCTCGTTTCATGTTCTTGGACCGTGGTGCCGTCACGCGTCACGGTCGCCGCTCGTCGTTTCGGTGCTGTAGCAGCCGCCAGGGCCATGCCGCGTCGGCGGCTCGGCGCACTACACCAATGACATAATTTTTCCCATATTTTCTTTTAATCTGTGTCACCTTTCCAAGTTTTCCCATACGTACCTAGTACCTGGGTTACTTGGACCTCATTCGCTTCCTTGTCATTGGACATGTATGTATAATGTATGTACACTGTTGTGTGGCAGAAATCCAAGAGAGCTAGTCCGTGACCATGGTGACACACTACTCAGTACTGTCACTAGTCAGAACAACAGATGGCTTGATCAGTGACTAATCAAGCCATCTGTTGTTCTGACTAGTGTATGGTATGCTGTTCAGTCCGTTCGTTTTGCGAACTCCAAACTGGCCCCCAACCCCAACATGACTGTCTGGACATCCAGGCCAGTTCTGCGGACAGAGGTTGTATGACCGATACAGGCATGTCATCCACAAAACGTAACACGGACCCGCGTAGATCTACCCACCCGTACCCGGACCCGGCCAGGGCCACCCTCACGCACTGCTGTTGCTGCTGCGGTAGATCTACGCGGTAGCTAGCTCACCTCGGCGAAACGGGCACCATTTCCACACTGGAGCTTCGTGGTGAAATATTTTCACTGCAGCGCTAGCTGTAGTTTCTTCAGTTTTTCATGCCACCGCCAGTACAGGCAGCCTGTAGACGAGTTGTTGTAGGCAGCGAGGTGGTGTTACAGTTAGTTTAGCCGTCTGCTGCTTCGTGTCAAAGTTTGTTTGGGTGCAGGCTGTGTAAGAATCTGTTTGTTGGCCAAAGGGTTTCATCGAAGTTTCCTAGTGGCTCGGAGGCTCCATTCGACTGCTCCATACCGTCACGACGTAGAGAACCGGTACAGCCTATCCGCCCACGACGTTCAAAGTCGTGTCCAGGATTCAACTTTCAAGCAAACCGTGACTCCTGGCTGCAGGAGCGCTCGCCACTGGACGTTCATCGTCCCCGTTTGTCATGGTGTTCCAGTGATTCTGGGTAAGTGGTTGGCCAGTGTTGTTCGGTTCTTGGGGATTGTTGTTCGTTCTCGTTTCCTGAACTGGCCGCAGAGCACCGGTAACGGGTATGCATGGCTCATACTCCTTTGAGCGTCTCAACAACTCAATGACTATTTTGCTTGTGTACTGCGATTGGGAGTAAAGTACGGTGAATAGGTGTGGGTTCTCTTCACTCGGTGAGTGCGTTCGATTACACACTTGAATCGATTCATGAATCGATTCAAGCGCATTCAAGTCGTTCGATTTCATGTCATGAGCATTGGAATCGATTCGGAATCCATTCACTCTATTCACATGGGGTGATGTGAATAGCGCGAATCGATTCGCGAATCGATTCATGAATCGATTCGCGAATCGATTCATGAATCGATTCGCGTGCATAATCGAACGCACTCAGTAGAGTGGAGTCGAGCCAGCTGCAGTTCCCGGGGCCGAAAGGCTGGCTCACTCCCCTTTCCATGTCCACGACAGTACATGTACATGATATTAAAAGTCTTACCAGAACTCCGTATACAGAGGAACGTTGACTACTGGTCAGAGTGTTTCTATACATGGCGTGCGTGGAATATATGGACTGTTACTTCCAAGTATACGTACCAGTACAGTGGCGGTCAAAGAAATGCGACCCACGAATCAAAAGCAGCTCCGCATTTCTATTTCACCGTGCATGGTCGAATAACCCATCCGGGAGGGCCAGAGCTCCTGGTTCGGACTCCCCGATACACGTTGCAATGCAAATGGAGTGAAGCTTCCTTGTAAATTTGCTGAGTGGAGGGCTCGACATGCTTCTCGTACTCTGGACGCGCGTTCTCGACGTTGAGAGCAGCCAATTTCCTCAAGTTGACGTCATAATATGATGCAATGTGCGCGGATTATCAGACATATCCTGGACCTTAGCTAGTACAAAATAGCACAAGGAAAAATGTTCGATGGTTTGATAAGCTGTACAAACGCCGTATATCAGTCTGGCCAGAAGAGCATTGCATCAAAAGAATGCTGTCAACTTGAAATTCTGTTGGGACAAAACTGTATGCGTGAGCTGCCTACTCTTGGGGGTGATGCACTCTTGTCAATGCTCAGTGCACGCTCTTGGAACCATGCCTCCACTGAAACAAAAGTGTGAAACACTTCTAAAATTTTAGGGTTTCTTTGGAATCTGCAGGCAGGCATAGTGGGATGGTCTAAGACCATGATTGAGAAACAGAGGGCACCAGGTTCAAGTCCTGCTTGGAAGTCTGATCTACTCACGTCCCACAGCTTAGGAACTGCATCTGCGCCTTGATCCAAGGAGGTAGTGGCGTTCCTGCGGATACGGAAAATCGGGCATTTGGCCGAGTCTCACGCGAACCGTGATTTTTTTGAATCTGCACCCGCTGAAAACATTCTGAAGAATGTTATCCATTTCAACATCACTCATGATGTGCCGCGTCTATTTTGGTGTGGTTTATTGTGTGAACATGTACAACAGATGGTGACTGACGTCCGTGACTTTTGTTGTTGTCGCAGTCATGGCTACAGCAGAGGTATGAATTGTCCACACGTCATTGCTTTGCCAAATTCTGAAAATGTTGTCTCAAAGACATCTTACAGTGTCCACACACATACACACATGTTTGCATGCGCACGTATACTCGCACACTCGCACTGCACACATACACACACACACACACACACATGTACCCGCTCCATGCTATCATTGGACTGTTAAAACTTGTGCCAATACGTGTACAGGGCCATCTGGTATTCTTGATTATCTTCAGTGAACAGTAATGCTTCAATGTGGCCTACGTCAGCCAACCAGGCCCCTGGAATGGCAGTGGCCAAACGCAAGCAATAAGCCCATATGAATATATCTGCAGCTAGCCAGGGCTGTCTCGTCCCCCGATGAACACTTGATCAACACAGCATAGATCTCTGGCAGTGCTAAAACAAAAACAAACAAAAAACAGAACTTGCATGGCACCATGTATGCTGCTAAGTACTGGTCGTAGCCAGGGAGTTGTTAAATACCGGTATTTTACGACTCCCTGGTCGTACCTTACTGGCAGCTTCTGTTATTCTCAGCTCATGGTATGCTAGCCCTTGGCAGATACTGCTGGCAGAATTTTTGTCTTCAGAATTTGGTACTTTATCGGGATGCTTTCATGCATGTTTGGTATGTGGATAAAGAAATGGAGCAGAATTCAAGGCAAGGTGAAGTGCCTGCCATAAGTTTTGTATTGTTCTGCCAATTTCACTGCTTTTCAAGCAAAATCTGCCAATTTTTTTAGCATTATCCGCCAAGGTCTACTGTATGCACTCTGTATGTTGTTATTGCAGAACCACGCGGTCAACACATGGCCATGGTCAAGCCAGATGTTCCGCAAGTGGATCCCACGCCTCCAAGCAGCGCTCAGCTGCGATGCAATTCGTGTTGAATGCTGTGCCAAGCGGTTGATCTCCGATGCGCAGAAGAAGGAATTGATGGCGATAAAAGATTCTGCCAAACACAATGGCCGACTGCTAGATATGCTGAGCAGGGGTACAGCTGAGACTTTCCACACTTTCTGTACTATTGTGCGTAGCACCGAACCTAAAGCAAACTTTTCAAAGTTCCTAGATGACATGCAGTCAGTGGATACCTTTGTTGCAGGTAAGTAGAAACTTTATCAGTCAGGTGACTGAGAGACACTCACAGAGTTGTATATACGGGGCGTAGCTCGGCCATCTGTGGTGTGGTGACCATGTGCCACCGGCAACCTCATAGCCTCCATTTTGCCTGTTAAGACTATGTAGTAGCTATGACGACCATTTTCTGGTGTGCTGACCGGACTATACTGACTATAGAGGAGCTACACACCTGCCTGTACATGTACAGACAATACTGCATGTCCTTGAGTTGCTTTGCTACATATCTATACAGTGCATATTGATGGCACCAACCTGCGTTGAAGTTTTGCAACGGTGCTTGTCACGGTGTGTGCGTGTGTGCGTGTGTGTGTGTGTGTGTGTGCGTGTGTGTGTGTGTGTGTATGTGTGTGTATGTGTGTGTGCATGCAATGAGGCATTTTGCGAGGCTGTGAAATGATTCGGCTATTTCCTGTTCTCTGTGTCATCTCTAACACAGGCAATGAAGGTGCAGCAAATAGAGTAACTCGAAGTCAACCAACCCGGTTCACCGGGAACCCACCACCTTCACCTAGCCAAGCAACTCGGTCTCCGCCAGCCATAGCACCCAAACCAAAGCCTGTTGTTAAACCCCAGGCCACTCACACATCTCCCGCCAAGCCCACCGGCGTCTCTGCAATGATAGCGGCCTTGAATTCAGCCGGTCAGGAAGGGAAATCGGCTGGAAGTCTACCTTTGAAACCCATTCGAGCCCCCCGGCCTCCTACTCGCCCAAAGCCTGTCACTCCCCACAACACAGCAAGAGCAGTGGAAACTAAGGATCCCACTACAGGTCACAGAGTGCAGCCAGTAGTGACTTCTGATCCTGTGTCTCCTCCACGACCACCGCTCTGTGACCACGCACGACTAGCGGCTGGCGGTAACCAACCAGATGGCACTGAGGCGGCGACATCTGCCCCAGCTGATCCCAAGCCCTCTCCGAAACCTGGACAAGCTGCTCCGTCCAGGTCTGCCAGTGTCTCCACACTAGCATCTAGTTTTGAATCGAATAGGCACGAAACAGTCAGACTGCCCTCGGATCAAGCCCCAAAGCCAAAACATCGCCAAATGTCCATAGCCGGTGCCAGGGCAGCTAGCTTGGCCAGGAGCCCAGCAATAGCTGGTGGCAAACACCCAGGCGGACATGCTGTGCAGCAAGTCCAGCGGTCAGCGCTGCCAACAGAGAGCTTAACTGCCAAGCCCATTGCTCGATCTCTGACTGGACGCGAGCCGGTTACCAAGAAGGCAACAGGAGATTCAGCAACGCCTCCCCAGCCAAACTCTCTGGTAAGAGACATAATTATAAATGACAGGAGTCACAGTGCGTTATGCTAGAGCTTATAATTATTGTAATGCAAAACTGAAGTCTGTAGAGAGTGGAGCCTAGATCAGACCACACTCCTTGTGAATTTTAGAGGGCGATCGGGATTGGGCACTGCCCGTAGCACCGAATCACCTGCGTTTTGATTGGGAGAGGCCATAGAGATATGAAATTTGATCTTACTATTTCCAATAAAAGTAGCAAAGGAGTAGTTTAGCTCACCTGAAAGGGGGCCCGTAGACTGAACTTCAGTGCCCGGATAAATGAGGTATGAGTGTACAGTCCATGCTGTATCATGTGATCAAGGGACTAGTAGTACATAGAGAGACGGCACAGTGCATCGTATCACTGCCTCCAGTGGGCTTCGAGCCTGGGCGGTACCTTACTGTCACCCTTCCAGGGCTCATGACATGAAATCGAACGGTGAGATTCCATTCATGGATCAATTCAAGTGCGTAATGAAATGCACCCACTGTGCCTGCCTGAGTAGCTATGGCAAATATGGGCGTGCGAGCAGCTACCCAAGCCAGAGTAACGAAGTGTGTCACAGAAATACGGGGTGCGGGATACCTAGGCAAAGGATGTATGGGGAATGTTTGGGAGATGATGACCTACCTAACACTTGTCTGGGCGCACGTGCCGTCAGCAAGTCAGCAAGTCATTGCTGTGACCCCTGCTACAATAGTGACGGCAGTTGCATCAGCCTTATACATTTGTACCTCGTTTGTCCGGGCGGTCCGGGACCGGACACTACCCGTAATGTTGAACTGTCGTTAACTCCAAATCACAAACATTTTGATGGGGAGAAACCATAGATATAGATGCATAATTGTGGTGTCACTATTTCCACTAAAAGTGACAAAAGGGTAGAAGAAGTGTCTTCACTGAAACTCACCCAAAGGGTGCCCGGTAGACCGAAGTACCCGTAACTACGGGGTCCAGATGACTGACGTAGGAGTGTGTTTTGCCCTTTTGAAAAGGTCGAGGCATTTCTTCATGATGATAATGCAGTTGAATTACTCGCTGGTGCATTCGTAAGTGGTGAATATCACCAGTCTAATGTTGAAGAGTGACATGAGGTTGTGGTCCAATGGTAGGGAGTTCAGGTCCGGTCGCCGAAAAGCGAAAAATACAGTCACAGCTCGCCTGTACAAAGTGAATGGGCGCCTCGTGGCAGCAGTTCGGGATGCAATTCGATGCCCAAGTATCTTCTTCCGCGGCCTTTTCGGCATTGTCGATGCTATTTTTTAGATAGCTGAGGTCATTACCTTTCCAATGGTGCCACACATGCCTTGCTTCCAACAATAATGCCTCCGCGCGACGCGCTTCGCGCGGATGCACTTCGAAGTACTAATTTCGACCAGATGCGTACTCGGCCTAGAGAGGAACACCCGATTTTCATTTTCAACGGCCTCGAATTAGTCTAAAACAAGGGGATTCTAGAACATTTAGGCTCGCGCTTTATCACGATAGAAGGAAAATGATCACAGAAATCAGCCCACGGCGATTTCCTGGTGGTTGACAAAAAATATCGAGTGAACTGTGCGCACACTGTAGAAGCAGTGACGGTGAAAACGTGAGACTTGTGCAAGCAGGCGCGAACGGCATGCGTGCACACTGCATGCATGCACACATCCTGTATCGCCATGTACGCACCAGATAGTGCAGTGCTGGACGGAAACCACATGGCCCACATACGTACTTGCATTTTCTTCTGTGACTAGTTTCACCCCCATTTTTCGATCTTCTATCAACTATAATTCTAGATTGCCTTGGAATTTTGAGTTCAAATTTTCACAGGTTGTTTCTCACATCTTCCCGGTTTCAACAACAAGCGTTTTAAGCGAAACTCGCGAAATTGGTTTTTCAATTGAACTCCCTACCATTGGTAGTAAAAGTTGTGTGACGTGTTGCAGCCTTCTCGGATCATCATCATTCAATTAAGCACCCCGAAGACTACAGCTTGTTAGCAAGTCGTTTTGTCCGTGATTGTCGTCCATGGCAAAACAGCGCTTCCAGTGAATGTTTTGCACAAACCCCTTTCTAGTAAGGGGAGCTCGCTGCGCTTTGGCAGAGGTGCGCAGATTTGATTGGGATGTAGGAAGAAGGGAGCTTCCTCGTACGAAGGGGATATAGGACGCAGGGAGCATCCTCGAACAAACCCCATTCAACTCGGCAGTCAGCAGAGAACAAGAAGTGAGATTTCGATGTTGGCAGCCGTATTTTCCCTTTATACTATAAAGCAAGGTGCTGAAAACTATTACTTCATATCCGATAACTTTCGTACGAAATATCTCTTCCTGTGAAGAAGAGGTTGAAGTTACTCCCGCAATACTTGGGGACTGATAGTGTGCTGCTCCCTATGTGGGAGCTCGCGTTTTTCCTGCCGACTTAAATTCTCACTTGACTGACTCATGACTGCCATCCAGAATTCAAGTCAGCAGGGGAAAAACCAGCTACCACCTAGGGAGCAACACACAGTTCCTATGAGAAAAATTTAAAAAGGGTTTACTGGGTGTTAGCGGCTGTCGTGATTTCCCTTCGGGGACGGACACGATAATTTACATTTTTTTAATAGGGAAGAGAGAGGATCCTAGTGGAAAATTTTGTGACTCAAAGTGTCATGCAGTAGCAATCATCAGACGACTTGTTTGTCAACTTGTCTGATGATTGCTTCGGCATGAAACTTTGACTAAGAAAGTTGTAGACATCACGCAACTGTATTTTTGAAGAATAGGGGGTTTGTCAACTGACAACCGCTCTATTCAATTACTTTTCACAATCTGTGCCTGCGCTGCATTAAAAATTCTTTGTTGTGATGTTGGAAAAATTAGTGACGTTTCGGGCCAGTCACCCATCGTCAGAGCAATTTCCAAGGGGCGAACCTGGCCTTTTTATTGCGAAAGCAAGCCAGAGCGTATGTATGTCCATGTACAAAAAAATAAACGAAACACACAATGAAACTTTGAGTCAAAATATTTTTCGACTTGGATCCTCTCTCTGCCATACGCAGAAGCTCTGCACCCTGCGCACGAAGTACTCTTTAGGCAGCGTGCCACACTTTTTCAAGGGTATTTTTTAGTTTATACTGGACTTTCACTGCGTATTGAAACAAATCCCACCAGTGAGAAAAGAGTTTTACACGTCTGAAAGTGTAGTGTAGATGTTCTGCATTAACAAACTGCTTGCCGTAAATCACACATGCAGGTTTCTACCGGCTATTTGCTGCTAGTTTTCTTCTGCAGCGGAAGGGTGCTGGCTATTTGCCTACGGAGGCGGAATTGAACTGCCCGTGTGCCGGTCGGTTCTTAATTTCATGCTCGTGTCGCTGTGTATATGTATGTTGCCTTTGCAGAGCCAAGCGGGCAACACAGGGCCATGGTCAAGTCAAGTGTTTCGCGAGTGGATCCCACGCCTCCAAGCAACGCTCAGCTGCAGCACAATCCGCATGGAATGCCGGGGAAAAGGTTTGATCTCCGATACGCAGAAGAAGGAATTGATGACAGTAGATGATTCGGCCAAACACAATGAGCTTCTCCTCGATATGCTGAGCAGGGGTACAGCTGAGACTTTCCACACTTTCTGTAGTATAGTGCGTAGCACCGAACCTGAAGCAAACTTTTCAAAGTTCCTAGATGACATGCAGTCAGTGGATACCTTTGTTGCAGGTAAGTACAAACCTTATCAGTCAGGTGACTGAGAGACACTCACAGAATTGTATTACATGTACAGCAAGTACTGTTGGATACCATTAGTACTTGGGTGACAATCTGAAAAACGTTCATGTTTGGAAAAGAAGAAGTGAGGACCCTGGTGTTCCAGCCTCAATGCCAACTTGGGCAAGCCACTAAACTCCCCTGGCTTCAGCTGACTCTATTGTGAAATGTGGAACCTACCAGAAGTTGGGCAGGGGAAGTTGGGCAGAGGAAGGTGTTGGGACGCATTGGGTTGGGATACGTTGGGATGGGGAACAATAGGCATGGGCTCCGAGTGGGACACAAGATGGCCACATGTCAGAAGGTTTTGGATTCCAAGGACCAATGGAGAGCTGGCCTTTCCCAGGATATCCAAACACCAGCGGCTGTACTGCGTAGCCGTGTCTTGTGGTGTTGTACATTCTGGCTGAAGAAGCTGCAGGCCTTAGCCAAGCATGTTAAGAACTGAATTTGTTGTCCTTCTACCGGTATGTTTGGTGGCGCATGCGTGTGTGGTCTCCAGTTTCTCCGGAATGCCAAAAAGACTGCAATAAAGTAGTAGACCTGATGAAAGAGTTCTCAGCACCGGAACGTCAACGGGTGGTCCACACTGCCGAGGATGTGGCACGAATGCGAGCGTCACAGACCGTCCTCGACAAGAGAAAGAAACCCATCCACTTACCACAGCCAACCTCGCCTGTGAACGTAGACTTGCTGAGCATGCGGAACATGGGACAAGGTAGGCGCAGGGGCTATGAGAGAGGCTAAACTGCACGTTAAATTTTGATGTGACGTGCAATTCTACGTCAAACGGGTCCTTGACGTGAGCTGCAGGTCTCTCGTGTTGTTTTTCAACGCGCGGGCCAAATAACGCGTCACGGCAAAAATAACGTCCAGCTTATCCTCTCTGTTATCTACTGGTGTAGTGTTTGAACCCGGACCTGGAGCCAATGTTGTCAAGGAAAAAGAGGACAAAATATGCATTCAATCTACACGTAGCAGTATGTGCATTGTCCCAGTGATTGCATTTTCCCACAGTTGGAGACATACGTTAGTGATGGTTTTACTCTCTCATTGTTCTTGTACATTGCAAGTACTGCGTGTGCACTGAGCCATGGCTCACATGGGCCAGTGCATGCGAAAACGTGTCTTCGGGGGAAACCGATTTCTTTCAGAATTTTGAGAAAATCGCTCGGAAAGAAGAGTTATATTTTTTTGTGGCTCGATCACGGATCTTGTCTACATTCCTAATCGATCTGAAGACGACAAGAGAAGCGACAAGCGATCGACTTGCAGCAATCATCATGGACGTGGCGGCGCAGGAGGAGTTGGAAGTAGCACTTGAGGAAGGGCCTCTGAGTAGACACACTCGTGGCAGACGCCGAGCAGCACGTCGGTTGAGCTGTGCCGCTCGCGTGATTATCGTCGCCGCGTCCGAAGAGATCGGCAAGGTTTACTATCGACGAGGAAGACGACAATTTATTTGGCGAGTCGGGAGTCAGACCAGTCGGCAACTAGCAGCTGTACTGCTCACAGTGACTCTGACGAAGCCCCAGCTAAGCGTCCGGGAGTGAAAGACTCTTGCGTTGAGGTTGAAGGCGAGTCGAGAGCGGATGAATTAGGCGGAGATTCTGTGGGCTCTGCAAGCGACGATGAGCAGGACGCGCTTCAGAGCATTGTCGCTGTGGACTCACTGATTCTCGAAGGCTGTGGCTGCGTTCGAAACTACCATTTCAGCAGCTTCACGTCGAGCGCAATCCTCCATTACGACGATGAAATCCAAGGACCTTGGCATATTTTTATATTGGTGTGCTGGCTGCGCTGCACGCATGACGATCCTGTCGACTGTCGTGCATCGGTCGACAGCTTCCGCAACGGAACGGACGTGCATCACATTTGGATAAACTGTGATGGGATACATCGTGTGTGGAACCGTGTTTATTCAGCTCTATGATTGTGGTTGGCAGAACATGACTGTGTGCAAGTGGACAAGGAAAACAATAGCTGTCATCCTGGTGCACATGGAAATCTGGCAATGTGCCTTGGAATAAATTTAGTACAGAAGTGGGAAACAGAGCGCAGCAGTTTATTCTGAACTACAGCTGAGTGTTCAGCCTCCCACTGTCTGCTGTACCAAGAGGGAGAGGTGGGGAATCTCCCATTAATTTACCTACATCTGTCGCCTACAAGTTTGTCCTTTCGGAACATGCCGAGCAGTCTGGTGAATCGCTAACCTTGGGTTAACGTATATTTTTGTATCTGTGGACTAAGAACTGCAAGTCTATCGAGTTCATGACACGATGGATGGATGTGTGCAACAAGTGTGAGCTGCTCCAGGACAATATTTGTTCGCTTCATGCATAGGATGAAAAGAATTCTGCAACGGAACCACTCCGTGACCATGTTGTCTTTGCACAAAAAGAACGCGAGTTCTTGCTAGCTCAACGTCGCAAGAACTTGCTAGACAATGTTTCCCGGTTTTGACAGGAGAACAAGGCAGCCTTCATTGAATGTCTTGGCCAATTCTAAAGGCTGATACGCAAAACTGTTGCTTCTTTCAGCGACACTGTAGATAATGCATTATACAAGGCATAATCTATGTTGGACAATGCCATAGAAATCATGGTCTCTATGTACTTTCAAATGTGATATCCAACTTTATCTTCCACAGAGGTGTTCTCTAGACCCCTGTGATTGATTTTCAAGAAAGAAAAAAATTTCCAAAAATTTGCCCTTAGACACGGTATTGCATGCACTGGCCCACATATGAACTGGAGTGCAAGGTGATTTCTACCCAACGTCATAATTACTGTATGCTGTCCGCTAGAAATTTCAAATTAATTTCAGCTTTTATCGTTCCCGTTCTGCTTTGGTCTTGATCAGAACAACGGCGAGCGGTATTGACTGAAATCGACCGCTTGGCGTCTAGCGCTAGCATCACTGATGATCGTGAGGCACAGGAATGCCAGTACCAGGGTCAGGTGACACGGGCGGACGGCCAAGTTGGTAAGCAATAGTTTGTACCTGTCTCTAGTGCATCACCATGATATTTAGTCTGCAGATTGGTATTATTTCACCGACACCATTGCCATCACCCCGCTGGATGCTGTACCAGCTGGTGCAATGCATGGTGCTCTCCCTAGGGCTTTGTGGGTGCCGCATACTCTGTCTTCTCTGTTATTCTCTTCTAAGCGGTCCCTGATACATCGCTACGTCTCTCCCACATACTTCTCTCCATGAAACAAAGAGAGCATTGAGTAGATAACATTCGGCTACATAAACTGGCCGTCACTCATACCACCATCACTTTCACGACATTCCCCTTGCCTCCACCTTCTCTTCTCCTTTCTGTACACCTCTCGGGAGGGGTGGGGGGGGGGGGAGAGGTGGTGGGGGGGGGGGGGGGGGGGAGGGGGACACTCATGATGATTGATGATTGATTTTATTTGGATTCGCGAGACCAAACGAGCAGGAGTGCTCAATAACAGGGTAGCGAATGGTTGAGATGTGCTATGTGACAATGTACTCATGACTGGTGAATGAAGACAACACAAGCATATCTTTCAGAGACCTACCAGGCTGAAAAACACCACACGTGTTCTTGTTGTATGGCAATCGTCATGGACCAAACTGCAATCACTGACGAAGAGAAGCTTGAGGATGGGCGTGAATGTATTCTCGGTGCCGCTGGTGGCTTGTCTTGGCATGAGTTCGCTTAAACCTCTACTTCCCCCTCTCAATTGTCTTGTAAAACTGATCTGAACTGGCTTTCACTGTGTTCAGTGTGTCTGCCAATTTTGCATCTTTCTCGTCTGTCGCAGACATATCGCCAGCTGATATACATAGAGAGTTAAGTAAGCACCCTTGTTTTATCAGCATCGGCACTGAATCTGCAAGGGACAGCCGTAGCATTTCAGAAACCAAGCAGTATTTGAAGGATACTGGCTTCATCGACGACCACACTGTCGTCACAGAGACCACTGGCTATCTGGAGGTGCTAGTGAACGTGCCTGTGAACATACTGGCCATTCGTGGCAGCAAACGACTGAAGTTTACAGGTCAGCATTCATGTGCTAGCATGATTGCGTGATTGTTTGATAAGGGTGGGTGGGTGTGTGGGTGGCAGGGTATAAGGGTGTAATGGTGGGTGTAAGGTTGGTTGCGTGTAGATGTGAGTGTGGTAGGGTGTGGGCATTTTCCATATTCGGCCAAAACAAAAACCTTGTTTACGGTAGGTCAACCGGGTCATATTCTCCTAAGTCTGAAACTTATTTTGGTCTGCATAAGTGTACAATAGGTGCCCGAGGAGCCTGTAAGTAGCTGGCAAAACGGCTCATTTACATCATGCATAGTCTACATGTACAGTCATGTACATCCAGTACTAGACATCCAGTACTAGACATCCAGTACTAGACATCCAGTACTAGACATCCAGTACTAGACATCCAGTACTAGACATCCAGTACTAGACATCCAGTACTAGACACCCAGTACTAGACATCCAGTACTAGACATCCAGCACTAGACATCCAGTACTAGACATCCAGTACTAGACACCCAGTACTAGACATCCAGTACTAGACATCCAGCACTAGACATCCAGTACTAGACATCCAGTACTAGACATCCAGTACTAGACATCCAGTGCTAGACATCCAGTACTAAACATCCAGTACTAGACATCCAGTACTAGACATCCAGTACTAGACATCCAGCACTAGACATCCAGTACTAGACATCCAGTACTAGACATCCAGTACTAGACATCCAGTACTAGACATCCAGTACTAGACATCCAGTACTAGACATCCAGTACTAGACATCCAGTACTAGACATCCAGTACTAGACATCCAGTACTAGACATCCAGTACTAGACATCCAGTACTAGACATCCAGTACTAGACATCCAGTACTAGACATCCAGTACTAGACATCCAGTACTAGACATCCAGTACTAGACATCCAGTACTAGACATCCAGTACTAGACATCCAGTGCTAGACATCCAGTACTAGACATCCAGTGCTAGACATCCAGTACTAGACATCCAGTGCTAGACATCCAGTACTAGACATCCAGTACTAGACATCCAGTACTAGACATCCAGTACTAGACATCCAGTACTAGACATCCAGTGCTAGACATCCAGTACTAGACATCCAGTGCTAGACATCCAGTACTAGACATCCAGTGCTAGACATCCAGTACTAGACATCCAGTACTAGACACCCAGTACTAGACATCCAGTACTAGACATCCAGCACTAGACATCCAGTACTAGACATCCAGTACTAGACATCCAGTACTAGACATCCAGTACTAGACATCCAGTACTAGACATCCAGTACTAGACATCCAGTGCTAGACATCCAGTACTAGACATCCAGTGCTAGACATCCAGTACTAAACATCCAGTACTAGACATCCAGTACTAGACATCCAGTACTAGACATCCAGTACTAGACATCCAGTACTAGACATCCAGTACTAGACATCCAGTACTAGACATCCAGTACTAGACATCCAGTACTAGACATCCAGTACTAGACATCCAGTACTAGACATCCAGTACTAGACATCCAGTACTAGACATCCAGTACTAGACATCCAGTACTAGACATCCAGTACTAGACATCCAGTACTAGACATCCAGTACTAGACATCCAGTACTAGACATCCAGTACTAGACATCCAGTACTAGACATCCAGTACTAGACATCCAGTACTAGACATCCAGTACTAGACATCCAGTGCTAGACATCCAGTACTAGACATCCAGTGCTAGACATCCAGTACTAGACATCCAGTGCTAGACATCCAGTACTAGACATCCAGTACTAGACATCCAGTACTAGACATCCAGTACTAGACATCCAGTACTAGACATCCAGTGCTAGACATCCAGTACTAGACATCCAGTGCTAGACATCCAGTACTAGACATCCAGTGCTAGACATCCAGTACTAGACATCCAGTACTAGACATCCAGTACTAGACACCCAGTACTAGACATCCAGCACTAGACATCCAGCACTAGACATCCAGTACTAGACATCCAGTACTAGACATCCAGTACTAGACATCCAGTACTAGACATCCAGTACTAGACATCCAGTACTAGACATCCAGTACTAGACATCCAGTACTAGACATCCAGTACTAGACATCCAGTAATAGACATCCAGTACTAGACATCCAGTACTAGACATCCAGTACTAGACATCCAGTACTAGACATCCAGTGCTAGACATCCAGTACTAGACATCCAGTGCTAGACATCCAGTCCTAGACATCCAGTGCTAGACATCCAGTACTAGACATCCAGTACTAGACACCCAGTACTAGACATCCAGTACTAGACATCCAGTACTAGACATCCAGTACTAGACATCCAGTACTAGACATCCAGTACTAGACATCCAGTACTAGACATCCAGTACTAGACATCCAGTACTAGACATCCAGTGCTAGACATCCAGTACTAGACATCCAGTACTAGACACCCAGTACTAGACATCCAGTACTAGACATCCAGTACTAGACATCCAGTACTAGGCACCCAGTACTAGACATCCAGTACTAGACATCCAGTACTAGACATCCAGTACTAGACATCCAGTACTAGACATCCAGTACTAGACATCCAGTACTAGACATCCAGTACTAGACATCCAGTACTAGACATCCAGTACTAGACATCGAGTACTAGACATCCAGTACTAGACATCCAGTACTAGACATCCAGTGCTAGACATCCAGTACTAGACATCCAGTGCTAGACATCCAGTACTAGACATCCAGTGCTAGACATCCAGTACTAGACATCCAGTACTAGACACCCAGTACTAGACATCCAGTACTAGACATCCAGTACTAGACATCCAGTACTAGACATCCAGTACTAGACATCCAGTGCTAGACATCCAGTACTAGACATCCAGTACTAGACATCCAGCACTAGACATCCAGTACTAGACATCCAGTACTAGACATCCAGTACTAGACATCCAGTACTAGACATCCAGTACTAGACACCCAGTACTAGACATCCAGTACTAGACATCCAGTACTAGACATCCAGTACTAGACATCCAGTACTAGACATCCAGTACTAGACATCCAGTGCTAGACATCCAGTACTAGACATCCAGTACTAGACACGGCCAAGCGAGTCTATTCGGGGGGGGGGGGGGGGGGGGGGGTTGCCAACCCGAAGCAAGCTTATTTTGTTTGGCAACGTGACCAAGTGATCACACATTCCCACTCTCACACCCAGCATCATATTTCCGGTGTCCTTTTCTTTCTTTGCATCATCATTTTATGCGGTCAATAAAAACGCGCTTCCAAGTGATCAGATGTGAACAGCACACAGGCATAGGTTACCTAATACATAGAAGCAAACATTAATTAATGTGTATTGTCAACTCTTCGTACACTTCAGATAGTATTCTGTATGTGTCCTGTCTGTCCTGCACATCGAGGGTCCATGTACAAAAGCTTCATCTTGTTCTTAACGAAGTTTTAATTTTAGTGCTAGAGTTGGAGTGAATAATATCCTCCATATGGTTAACAGTACAAACCAGTGATGAGGGGATGCGCCCATCCTTCATTTGTTATCCACGCATCCTAATTACTCTTCAGGGTTACCCATTGCTATCGCTCCAAGCTTACTTCAAAGTACTTGCATGAAAAAGAAATGACCCTTTAAGTCGAACTTCCCCATTTTCTTCTTTATTCGGTCTCTGACTCGATGGATGTGTACATGCGTGAACGTGCATGTGTCACTGTGCATGCATATACACTGTTATTATTCTGAAACAGACGAGAGCTCATCTATAGTGAAGTTCATCATCGACTGTGAATATAATCACACGGTCCCGAGTTTCATTGAACGAGTCGTACGTAATCTCCGCAATCTTCTTGGTGATGAGAGTGTCCATGCCGACGGTGTACACAGCGAGAGCGGAGGCACAGCAGTGTTTGTACAGATGTCTGCCAAGGCTCATACCAGGCTCTGGGAGTTCTGTAAGGATCAATCTAGCCTGCTCGCTGGTCTGCACATTCTTGAAGTGTCAACTGTGGACGGAGCAGTAGTCTTCAATTTGCGTCCCACGGCATGCAGTGACGAAGGTAAGACGGATTGGTGCAGTAGGAAAATACTAGGAATGCACAGATAGCAGCGAGTCAACTCCTAAGCGTTAGTCCCATATATACAGGGAGTCAACTCCTATTAAAGCATTAGTCCCATGATGATAGGGTAGTCAGTTAATTCCTAAGCCTTAGTTCCATGATGATAGGGAGGTCATCACTAGTCAACAGACGACTGGCTGTCGTCTGGGAAAGTGGTTGGTGCAGGCATGTTTCGGTCCATGATGTTTGTCTGCACACAAGTTTTCTAGGAGACTCTTTTGACAGAACGAAGTAGTTTTCACAACCAAACAGCTTCCTTGATATGCTTCAATTTACCTCTGGAGCAAAAGGTCCGAATCTCTTTGCTTTCTTGTCCAGGTATTAATCCTGACGACCAGAAGCGCTTGGTTGAAGAGTTCTGCGGGAGATTTCCGTCCTTGGACCAGGATGAGCTGTCTGTCGCTGTGGCTGACCAACCGGATGTTGAGCATGCAGTGATTGCACTGACCAAGCTCGTCTTCGATGAAGGCGAAGCATGCTTGAATGCACTGCCTGAGATTCTTGGTGGTGAGTTTCAATTCCATTGTTTTGTGGTTGTGTTGCGTGTACTGTGTCCATTGGGTCCTGCTGTCTATGTTGCGAACCGGTGTGCATCAGCGATAATATTTACATCGTGTTATAAAAGCACAAACGCCGTATCATTTTGGCAATGTCACTGGGACCACAATGAAGAGAAATAGTGCGTTTTGCCGCATCGGAATAATCGGAGGACGGTTTGGTGCATTTATTGATGAACTTGTGGTCCTTCAGAAAAGCCTCCCTTTGTACTGAACCTCCCGAGGCCATTGTGCTGCAAGTAGAATTTTCAGCAAGTCTAAGGAGGGTATTCCCCTATAAAGGTGATGTGTGTGCGTGGGGAGGGGGGGGGGAGGGAGGGAGGCGGGGAGGGAGGAGGGGGACATATGAATCTCTCGCATCTTAGCACCAGCAACGTTACTCGCTGTTATGCGGGATTCACAGAAGCATTTTTACGATGCAATGCACAGTGCGACATCCGCGAAATTAGGAAATTCCCAAAACGCACCGATCGCACAGCTCACTCAGCCATCACAACTGGCCCATCGCTGAAGTCGAGCTTGCCACTGCTTGGCTCAACTTCTGCCGTGTGACATGCGATGTGATGTACGATTTTGACCTTTGCAAGAAAGTTGTACGAAAGGTTCAAGAGTTGCTTGCAGATTTGTGCAAGTTGTACCCGACTACACAAATGCCACAATGACGTACGCATTTGCATTGAGCTTTGAGCCTTTGAGGCATGTCAGCAAGGCGTCGTCTACTTCTGTGTATGGTAATTTGCGAGTATGCATCGTACTGCGGTGTCGCAGATCGCGTTGTTTTGCGCATAGGCTATGGGCAATACAACCCAATGTGCGACACCGCAGTGCGATGCATACTCACAAAACAAAATGCAATGCTTTGGGCCATAGCATTGCAAAAAAGCTTCTGCGAATGCCACCTAAGATGTAAGGAAAACAAGTGACCCTGCAGTCGTAAAATTATGCTTTGCCTTTCCTGTTGCGGTCTTTCATAGGTGTGTCGGCAAGAAAGACAACTTCTATCCCTGCTCACGTTCACGGTACGTACAACAATATGGCTGTGACGAAGCCTTGGTCCATCAAAATGCACAATGCATATGAATCTCTTGCATCTAAGGGCCGGGTTCTACTGCGGCTCCGCTGCTCGTCATCCGCGGTTCAAAACGTCATCATTACCATAGTGACCGCGGCTCGAGCTAGAGCAGCGAGGCCGCGGCTCATTGCGAGCTTTCGCTACGATTCTTGATCAAAAACTGCAAGCCGCGGTCGGGGCTCGACCTGTTTCCTGTACTTTGCATTGTTTTGTACGCGAAAATTTTAAAATCCAAATTTTAGTTCGTTGCGCACGCCAGAACACGCGGATTTTTTGATTTCGCGCTCACAGGCAGGTGAGACGTCATCAAAAAACGTGGAGCACGACGGCGGTACCGCGAATGGCGAGTGTCAGTGTAACCGCGCTGCTCCGCTGCATGCAGCCAAAACCCGCGGAGCAGCGGAGCCGCAGTGGAACCCGGCCCTTAGCACCAGCAACGTCATTCGCTGTGATGCGGGATTCACAGGAGCATTTTTACGATGCGGTACGCAATGCGACAGCCGCGAAACCAGGAAATTCCCAAACGCACCGATCGCACAGCTCACTCAGCCGTCGCAACTGGCCCATCTCAGAAGTTGAGCTTGGCTCAACTTTCGCGATGCTACATGCGATGCGATGTACGATTTTGACCTTTGCAACAAAGTTGTACAAAATGTTCAAGAGTTGCTTGCAGATTTTTACAAGTTGTACCCGACTACACAAATGCCACAGTAACGTACGCATTCGCTTTGAGCTTTGAGGAACATCAGCAAGGCGTCGTCTACTTCTGTTATTGGTAATTTGTGAGTATGCATCGCACTGTGGTGTAGCAGACCATGTTGTATCGCGCATAGCATTGCAAGAATGCTTCTACGAATGCCACCTAAGATGTAAGGAGAACAAGTGACCCTGCAGTTGTAAAATGATGCTTTGCCTTTCCTCTTGCGGTCTTCTTAGGTGTAGCGGCAAGAAAGGCAACTTCGACCTCTGCTCACGTTGATCGTAAGTGCACCAATATGGCTGTGATAAACGTTGGTCCATCACAATGCACATGTGTACATAATGTGTGTTTGTTTGTGTGTGCTTGCGTGCGTGCGCGCGTGTGTGTGTGAGTGTGTGTGTGTATGTGTGTGTGTTCGCTAGGTTTAATACACGTGCTGTTCTTTCTGGCCTCCCTCATGTCGCTCCGATGGGAATTTCACAGGACCGTCAAATTATCTCGGTTTTTCATTTACATTGTAGTTTCAAGAAAGTGGCACCTCCGAATGTTGCAGCTGCTGCTTTCTGCCGAATAACTGACACTTGGCTGACCAACAGCTGCTGCCGTCTGGAGCACACGAGCAGCACGTTGAGCAAGGAGTGGTACTTTCTTGCAGGTTTGCCGAGTGGAAGGTTCAACGTGCTCCTGGTATGCTTAAGACGGCTATCGTTTGTCAGTCAAGTGTCAAGTCACTCGGCAGGAACGCCAACACTTGGGTCTGTCACAAACAGCATTTTCGAGCAGGAGAGTTCAGAATGTTGTGTACAACAAAAAAAAGCGGTGTTTTCATCACAGTACGGAATAGTGGTAGCGACATCGGGACAGTGCAGAGAAATGCCTAAAACTTGAATCTGTTTTCCTGCCATTCTTTTTTTCAATTCTTATTTTGTCTCCTTTCTTGCAGATCCTGAAGAGGCCATTTCAACCCATGTCTCTGCCAATTCTGAACACGCAGTAGAAATCCAGGGAGCTGACAATGAGCTGTCTCTCCAGCCGCAACTTCAGTCCCAGGTAAGAAGAGACCAGATGCAAACATCATAGGTAACGCAAGGAAAGATTTAGGTCTGGTCCTGTTAGGTGGGGGGGGGGGGGGGGGGAAGTGACATGTACCCCTTGAAACATTTGACGTGGAGTATGGTGCGTTGTTGTATTTCATTGAATTCTGAGAAATAGAAATTTAACCCATTCAGTGCCAAGGACGAGACTACTCGTCCTACAGACCCCCACGCGATTGGCCAAGGACGAGATATCTCGTCCTCGTAGTGCGCACTACTATATCTCACTGGCCATGCATTACGATCTAGCTTGGCCGATTGTGGCTCTTCGAGGGGAAACTAGCGGTTTTCCCCTACTGAATATGACCTCACTTGCCGTGTTTGAGTAAGTATGGGCACGGGAGCATACATTCAAAGCGCGAGCGCGAAAAAGATACTTCGATTCAGAAACAATTAGATTGATAGAACGTACTTTAGGTCTCTCTAGCTGTCACTCAGACACGGCGAGTCGCCACATGCCGGCTGAAGAGGTGCTCCAGTCCATCATGGACTCGGACAGTGATGACTGGAGCTGCGATAGTGAAGGCGATGACTCGGATGCGGACATAGCCGTCTGCGATCGTGACGGAACAAATTTCGCGGACGAGTCTGCCTTAGTCGATGTCGTACCTACTGCTGTGGTCGCCTTGGACGGCCCTGAGGATATCGGAGATGTCGATGTAGAGCTTGAACAGGGCACAGCAGCACAAGCTACACCAGCGCAGGACAAGTCGGTTTGAGTTGATACGACTAATTTGAAAAATCAGATTTTTCATGAAAATGGCACGGCCAACCGCGTGCATCTTGCCTGGCACTGAAAGGGTTAATGCAATCAAATTTGTAAGAAGAGGTTTATGGCAACTTCAGTGATACTCAAATCTTTATTTTCAATTAAATGTTGATGGTCAGGATCCAACATTATGATTCAACAAGGGAAAACTTCTGAACAGAAAGAAGCATAATATTATGTGAATGTCACCTACCCATGTCTAACTGTGGAAAACGTTACTTTCATGACCCATTGACATTGTCATTGCATAGCCAACCTCTTTTTCTACTTCCTCCTCCTCCTCCAGCTCTTCTTCCCCATTCCTGTGCACCGCATGTGCTGTTGAGACAAAAATGATAAAACCAACCAACCAAAACACCCCCCCCCCCCCCCCCCCATCCAGCTCCTCCTAACTAGCATTCGTCTGCTCCACTCTCTATTTATCTTTGTGCAAAAGACACAATGCACAATATTCTTCACTATTAGGTATAGTTGCAACTTGCAGTGAGGAGTGGTGTATTTCGCAAGTAGCATACCCTGTCTGAAAACGCCTGCCATATCTTGATCAGAGCTGTGCTGGAAAATGTGCTCCGTCCATTTTTTTAAAATCCTTTATTACTTTCCGATTTTGATATTCTCCAGTGGTCTTTTCGTGGCAGTCTACCTGATAGCTGGCGCTATTCCGACAGTCGTCGTACCATGTACAATGGGCATGCTTACATTGTGTGCCGGGAGGAGGAAGGAGCAATGATCTACCGGTCTACTCATTCTCTCAAGGAAAGTCTTCAGGTGGCATGGACAAGAGCAATCACCATTGACAACCCACACTTTCGGTCATGGAGGAACTTTTGCATTCACAATGAAAAAATGTACTTTGCAAGTATTAGTGATGGGTATACATGTATCCCCAAGATCCATGTTGTAGATCTACAGGGAAACTGTGGTACTAGAGAAATACAATGTGATTGTATCCCAGTACAAGATACGAGTATGAATACATCTGTCAAACCTTTTGCGAATGTATTTATAACCCAGTCAGCGCTTCTAATAGTATGCTTCTGGCGCAACCATTTCTTAGAAGTTATTTCATTAGATACTAGGCATGATGATGCAGTATGGGCAAAATTGGATCCGCTCAGCATGCCGGAGCCGCCGGACAGCATCTGCAGCACTGACAGTACTCTGTTTGTGATACCAACAGGAGACCTCAATGATGCGCATTTGTCAATCATGAAGTTGGATGTAAGCGAGGAAAGTCTGCGAATGCCATCATGGCTCGAGATCAAAGTGGACGTGCCTAAGGCTCTTGATGTAGAAGTAGATCTATTCCATTGTGATGTACCAGCTGCTGTGGGTAACACTATAATGTTACCCATGCTCTATGGAGATGATGATAAATTAGTCAATGGTGTGATATGTGTTGATTGTACTACGTGTATAGGCCGGTGTTCTGTCTTGCCGTTGCCATCCAGTACATCCTGTACAACCCTTACATTGCAGTTGATGGTGGATGGCGATACGCTTATTGAACTCCATTATGATCACTCAGTGTATACTCTTCAGCTACCTGACCATTTGTAGACACCAGTGATTGATCGGCTTCTACATGCATGTATGCCAAGGCGGTGTACAATGTAGATATTCTGCTGCGGCTAGGTCATGTGATGGACAACTGGTGCACACTGTGTGTTTTTGTGATCCTGAGTTTTTTCGTTTGCACATGCATACCCTGTTCTACTGGGGACCCATATGCATGATGTGTTTGGTGTCCAGTTCTTTCAGGCCATCATTCTACATAGGCACTGTCCTGAAATGCTTATTGTCTATGTACATATTATACATTAGGTTGGAGGCATATTATAATTATATAGATATTATGTATATAGAATGCTGTCCATGGATTGGATATGATGTATTATATATACATAGAATATTAGTTCTAAAACTCAACAGCTCTCCACACATACATACTCATTATAACTGTGTACATAGTAGTCTTTCTTGTCAGTGATTGACAAAACCCCAGAGGTTGAATTGGTCAGCAGCCACATTACTTCTTTCCTAGAAATTGAAGAACTGACTAATTGGCTCTGTGTGTGCGTGCAGATGTGTACCGTACATGCACGCATAATGGTAACGTTGCACTGGTCTAGCCAAGAGTATAGGGTAACTTTGAGAATTATGTTACGTCGGTCGGTCGAGATAGAGAGAGTGCATGCACGAGAGCGAGAGAGAGTGCGTGCGCGCGAGAAAGAGTGCGTGCGTGAGAGCGAGAGAGAGAGAGAGAGAGAGAGAGAGAGAGAGAGAGAGAGAGAGAGAGAGAAAAGAGAGAGAAATCACCTTACAATTGCATACAGAAAGTGTTTGCGTACATGTAACAAAAAGAAGAAAAAAAGGTGCGGCATTATCAAGTGAAACAGATGAGTACTGTCACCACAATAGATGAAAAGCCAAAGACGTAGAGTGGAAGATTTGTCAAACCAGCACATTATACAAAGTAGAAAGTCTCAAGACTTGATCAACAAGCAGTGCCTTCACACCAAAGCAATCACAAGTGCAGAGATGGAAGAAAACAACCGCAGCAGCTATAATTATGATGTATTGGCAGTCCCCCTGGTGGTGGTGGTGGGGGGGGGGGGGTTAGTGCAAGAATTGATAAGTCGATGTCCGTTGCTATATGCTGAGCGTTATACACTGAAAGTGCTAGCTGCATTAGACCTAGATTTATATGCAAGTAACTGCATGCGAGAATATCACATACTTCGAGTACATGCTAGCTAAAGTAGGAGCGAGAATATCATACACATGCTGGCTACAGTAGAGCTACAAGAAAAGCACTGTACTCGAGAATAGCATGACGCTACCAGCGTATACAATCCAACATGGAGTAACCGATGAGGACATTCATGTGAGGTGAGGCCTCTCTATCTGAGCACACGTCCGTCTGGCATCAGTTCTGCCCTTCACATGTTTCATAATCCCTACTCCAGTCGACCTGCATACACTGAGGGGGCTTGCAATTGAGACGGCCAGGCTCGACGTACTGGAAATGTTTGAAAGTGAACTTCTTTTTATAAACGGGACCAGCAGAGTGCTGGAGCGGAAGACTACTCTCACCTGTTACCTTCATGGTCACAGATGACAATGTGCAGAAGTCATGCATGACTGATCACAAGCAGCTTATGTGTACATCGTGCACCTAGTAGCTGTAGATCTTGGTGCAGTGGATGTCCTTGTGGGCACACTCACGATTGCGGTTATAGCAATAGAAGTAGCCGCTCTTCAGCTTCAGGACTTTCACCAAGCCGTTGGGCCAGCGATCCGGCTAAGAGGAACATGCAGAGAGAGAGAGAGAGAGAGAGATGAGAGAGATGAGAGAGAGAGAGAGAGAGAGAGAGAGAGAGAGAGAGAGAGAGAGAGAGAGAGAGACAGACAGACAGACAGAGAGAGAGACAGAGAGAGAGAGAGAGAGAGAGAGAGAGAGAGAGAGAGAGAGAGAGAGAGACAGACTGAGAGACAGAGACAGAGAGAGGGAGAGACGACATGGAGGAAAAAACTAAAAAATCATAATAATAGATGGTGCAAGAATGAACTCGGATGGAGAGCCAAGCACTAATTATAAAAAGTAAAAAGGACCAAGGAACTACAAGTTACACTATAATGTCCACTAACACCACCAGTTACTAAACAGCTCATGCAATAACATTGCACGACACTGACCGACCGTACTGACGTTTTACAACATTATAGTGTAACTTGTAGTTCCTTGGTCCTTTGCTCATCGTAGGTCAACCAAGACCATGTCTTGAAATATGACGCCTGACAAGAGCGCTGCACCACTGTCTTTTTCCCAATTTCCCGCCGAGGAAACGCGAAGGAAGTGGTTGGATGGACTGGCACTTCTGGCACAGATACTTCGCTGACAGAAGCCATAGCTGCTAAGCATGCACTGCGGCTAAGCTGACCAAACAGCGAGACAAATTTGAAAAACTACTTCGTTCAGTAAAAGAATCTGAAGCACTCGACGAAAACCCTCAAGTACTACAAATCACAATGTAGAATCCATCATGGCACGTGCTTTCAGGTCGCGCGACTCGAGCCACAGGCCCACAGGCCACAGCTAGCCCTCAAGCGCGCACGCGTGCACGGCAAGATCAGAGCGAGATCGCAAGTACGCGTACGTATGTACAATCGATGATCACATGACGTTACTGCGTCCTAAAAAAATCGTCGGTCAGCCCGCAGGCCCTACTGTTGTCCGTGCCACAAGCCAAAACTAGATCCGACTGATTGGATCCATAAGTCAGTGTTCTCATGACACCAGCCTGGTTGCCATGTACTTCGAAGTAGCACGTTCAAGCCCTATATCTTTCTTTGTGGATATAATCAGTTCAAATTGATAGTGATCACCATGGTAGATGTGTGTACATCGTAACAAAAAATCCAGGTGAGGTTTATACTCCGCATTATACTTTTTCTGTGAATACGATGTGGTAGCCACTTCCATGATTATATAATTGTGTTGATTTTCATAGGAAAGTTGGCTGCTCCCCACACTGGAGCGCTCGCTTTTCCGCCCACTTGACTTGGACTTGGGGTCAAGTGTCAAGTAAAGTTGGCGGAAAAGTACGAGCTTCGTTGTGGTTAGCAATGGACTTTCTTACGTATGTTGTTGTTTTTCAAATCTCTATTCTCGCGATGGCCAATGGCCAATAAGAGATATTGTTTGTTTGAATTCTTTATTCTCACGATGGCACCATCGGCAATTGTTATTGTTGTTGTTGCTGTTGTTGACTATTATGTGAAGTTCAAAGCACCATATCAGCGAAACCTCTTACCAGATCTCCACCGTGAAAATGCTCATACTCGGTGGCATCGCGAAAGCCAGCCAGCTGAAACCGGTATGCTACAGGGAAAATGGACAGGTCACAAAACATCGTGTACATTGTAGATAATTCGACGGGTTGACAGGCATAGTGGTGATGTTGGTCTAAGATCATAGTAGATAAACGGAGGGTACCAGGTTCAAGTCCCCCGGTTCGGTCTATTCTCGAATCGATTATTGGGCCTATTCTTGAATGGGTTCCTGAATGCGCTGAGTGATCCTGATCAGATCCAATTGTGCCAAAGGGCGTTTCAGGACCGAAATACCGATTTTAGATCTTTCGTTTTCCCTTGTAACCCTTACTCATCTTTATCGCCATGGCTGGCTATCACCCACTTTCTTCACATTGGCCGGAGTTTTCATTGCATCTTGAGATGTTGTAATATATAAAATTGATACAGTACGACCCTCACTCAAACCTTTTGTTTTGCTTCTGGTTTCTCATTTCTCATGACTTGAAGATGGATGCTAGTGTACTGGGAGAATTTCCAACATAATCTGCTGTGAGAGATGACGATGAAGTAGAGCAGGTCCCGGCATTCTTCCCGGTATTGAAGTATAATTCCAGTTCCTTTGCGGATGTGCTGGAGTTTCTCTGGCACCAGTGCATGCAGTTCCCCAATCCGAATAATGTTTTAGTCTTGCCCACTCTCTCCATGTTAGATGTACTGCGCGGTCCACAGTCCATTCAGAAAATGACGAGCGCTGGCTCTGGAGAGCTCCCGTGTTTGGTGATTTTTCGTGATTTTATGGTACACTGTGCAGTGCCGGGCCGCGAGATTCGAAACTTGAAAAAAGGGTCCAAAAAGGTGCCTCAACTGTGGTTCGACCCGCAAATGTACTGTTATGCACGTGCAGTGAACGGCCTGGATTTTCATGGTTTTTCCTCAATTCAGTGCTTTGGGGGCAAAACCAGGCTGAAATCCTATTCTCGTTATGGCTTGCTCTTCGGAGAAATAGACTTCAAAAACACAATGAAGAGCATTCCATGGGGGGTGCCAAAAAAATTGTGACAAAACTCAAAATTTGACCCATTAATGGCCAAAAGCTAGGATATCATTTTCTGAATGGACGGTAAGTGTAAGTAGGAAACCATGGGTGCAGCGGAGCAACTGTTTCCCAGGACTACTAGACCGCGCCCTGGCGACACTGCGGGCACTGGGTGCAGCACCCAACGGTAGATACATTTCGTTTCCGTGACCTCCTTCAATCTCCTTTCCTGGCATACAAGAACTGTATCCTCCTCAATCGCATGCAAGTGAATTACTTCAATGGGGGACGAGGAGGAATGAGTTGTGCAAGCCGAGGTCTCTTACCGTCTTCGACTTCCTCGTTCCAGACTTTTCCTCGTTTCATGGTCTTGGGCTGTGGTGCCGTCACGGTCGCCGCTCGTTGTTTCGGTGCTGTGGCAGCCGCCGGGGCCATGCCGGGTCTGCGCACTATACCGATGTCATGCGAACTGGACCGCGCTGTTGCAGAGCTGGTCGATGCTGTCGCCGAAGCAGAGCAAGACGCCTGAGGCTCGCCGGCCTGCGGTGCTCGGCCCACACCGGCCGCTGTGGACTGAGCAGAACTGCTGCTGGCGTCCCTGCTGCAGCTAGGAGTCCCTACGGACGTGGACACGCCGCTGCTTGGCTGCTTTGAGGTGCTAGCGAGCGCCCTTCCTTTCGTCGACGGCAATGGCTTGCCCAGCCCGCCTGCAGTGCGGCCCGGCGGCCTGCCATGAACAGCTTTGCCCGAGATGGACAACGAAGCCATTGGCAGTGACATTGTCTTGTACTTACAGCAAGTGGTGATCTATCAGATTACCGAAATCAGTTGCTTCGCCTTGCTTCCCCACTTCTGGCGGGTACACACTGCACCTCCTTACAAACTACTTCCTAGCCTTTCTTACTGCAATAAGCTTGGGCGAAGAAGTAAGTTGGCTGTTTGCCGAGGCCCTGGAGCCACAGCGTAGCTCTAGAGAGGAACTGGACCCTGGAAAGAAGCCGTGGAAGCTGGCGACTAAAACTGTTCGTTCAGTGATTGATGTTTCAATGAAGCTAGCTAGCTTGCAAACGACTCCTGTCCTGCTTCTACAAGTAATTAGTTCTACTAGTACTACTAGTACAGTACATGTAGTTCTAGTGCCTGAACTAACTAGTTACTTGTGAAGTAAAGTACGGGTTAGTTACCGGTAGTTGAACTGAGTGAAGCCTAGGCCAGGGCTTTCGCGGCTCCTGATCCTGGCCTGGCTTGTGCGACATCATCATGACACGTAACTCGTTCAAGCCGACCGCGCGCCGGGCCGGTGCTGCTAATCACTATGGCGACATTAGACTCCCAGCATGCATATCTCTCATTCTCACTCTCTCGGTTGTTACAAAAATAATAAAATTAATAAATACTCGACTCCGGCTCCTAACAAGACACATTGTGCTGTGAGTACATGACTTGTGCTAGTACTAGTAGTACTACAAGATTTGGTTCGTTATAAACGAAAACTGTTCGCTAGTACTAGCTATAAAGGGTCGATTTTGTATGGGTTCAAACAGGGACATGGACAAGGGTTCGCTATAATACACTATGCGAGCTCATATTCATAAGTAAGTGGAGTCGACTGCATTTACCGCCATCTGTCTCTCTCCTGTCTAGGCATGCAATGCCAAAGTGCCTGCATGCCAATGTTGTTGCCTTACACTGATTGTACATAATGTGGTTGAAGGAGGCGTAGCTATAGCAATCATAGCATCTTTTGAGACAACAGCGGTCATCAGGCTGCAGGGTGAGTAGTGCGTGGAGGGAGAGTTGGGCTTCGCTTTGGGCCATGCTCCCCCCCCCCCCCCCATTCATGCATGCTCGCATATGAATATGATACATGTACATGTACATGACGGGCGTATCTGGTCTCCCTTTTAGGGGGGTGGGGGTGCACAGCCACATAAAATGCATAGGATGGCTGGTGCATGTCATTCATGGTTATGACGTGCATGCTGAACATAAGTCGAATTTTGTTTGGGGGGGATGCACAAGTCCCCCCCCCCCCCTGTGCCCCATGCGGGCTACACGCATGTACATGATCTGTCCCTGCGGGAATTTGCGGAAAAAATCCTCGACAACTTGCGCAAGAAATTGCGGCAGAAAACAACAAAAAATGCGGCGAAAAGTGCGGAACTTGCCAGGAACTTGCGGAATTATTGGCAGAAAATTGCGGATTTGGGCCAAATCACGAAATTTGTTGTATCCTTAGAATCTCTATTTGCGTACTGTGGAAATAACCTACAAGCAGGATCATGGAAAGCACTGTATACTGCGTGAAAAGCGCAGAAAAATGTCAAAAGAAGTGCAGAAAACAACAAAAAACGCGGGAAATCGCGGATTTTTCAGAAAATCGCGGGTTTGGGCCAAAATCGCGAAATTTGTTGCGTCCGTGGAATCGCGATTTCCTGGAGGGACAGCATGATGTATGACATAGGCTGTGTCACATACGTGTACATGTATAGTGGCATGAGGGCAAACTGAATTTGAAAAATATCTTTATAAGAATTATATCAAGCGTGTACCTTATGTCGCAGGGCCGGTTATGCAATGCCAAGGAAAACCAGATGCAGAATTTAGAAGAGAAGAGCAGATATTACACAAACATGTGACGTGAAGATATCAAGTTTAAAAAGTAAAAGAAATTTTTCGCGCCCCTTCCGGAAGGAACTCATGACGGCCTCTAACACCCAGTAAATCCCAGTTAGAACAGCAATAGAACTATTAAATGAAAATAAAAATTTCAAAATTTTTGAAGGACGCTTCACACAGCTTCATCATTGCACTTGAATAGATGTTTTTTCCATGTCCACTTCATTCCTGATGATGATCATGAAGACCGAAACGTTGAAACGATACTTCTAATGGATTTGTGTGAAATGCAGTGCTCTCTTGAGTGTAGGCAGGTTGCCTGCAAACTATTCAAGTGCAATAGAAATAATGATACTAAGTGGCACAGTCATCGCCATACATCATCAACATCTCAATAGTGTTAGCCAGAATCTATTTCCTTCTGGCTAGATTATTTAGTGCTATTCTAACTCTCAATGAGCGAAACAGCTGTCTGGAGGATAGGGAGCATCTATCCAAGAACGGAACTAACTTCCTCGCTATGGAGTATGGTGTTTGTGAATGTGGGCCAAAATCAAGAGCGCAATGTGGAGAAGTGGACAGTTCAAGCTATTCTAAGAGTTACTGTCAGTAAGAGGAGAATCAGGAGATAATATTATAAAGTGTTGCTCAATGAAATCCAGTCGCATCACTCAGGTACACGCCGGGCGTTGCGCGGCCCCAGACCTGCGAACACTGGGCTGAGAAATGATGCAAGGCGCAAACTAGAGTGACGCGACCGGATTTCATTGAGTAACACTGTATGAGTGTGCTTGGCAGTGTGGGCCACGCAGGATCACCTCCGCTTCCGGACCACTTGCAGCGCAGTGATAATGTGGGCCACGCAGGATCACCTCCGCTTCCGGACAACTTGCAGCGCAGTGATAATGGGTGCCAACGTTGGCAGGACGACGACTGCATGACTCGAAGCACAAGCAGAGTGATTGCCGACTTCAAACACCTGAAGCGGTGGTAGGGACATGACACATCAAATTCCAAAAGACAAAAACACACACACAGTAAAGGGGAAGTTCACCCAAAAATCAAGACTTCACACTATCATTAAAAAATGCCCTGATACTGCTGGCGACAGTCTCGGGTTGGTCAGGGCTTCTGTTTCGGATTTAGCATGGTCACAGCAGATGGAAGTTTCACTAAAATCAGTGACATCATAATGACGTCATAATTTGCCCAGAACAGGTCAGATCTGTGAGATCACAGAGATGAACTTTGTATACAGGAGTAGATGGGTATTAAAACGAGTGGTGAAAGGGGTGATTCGGGTACCCGGGTACCCGTCTGTTTAACGGCTGATCCGTTAGCCAACGAGTACCCGCTAGTCGTGTACGACGGTACGGTACGGTGTTATTAGCTGGATTCTACTGTCGTACAGTTCGATATACAGTTTGAATATGTTGTTGTGGGTTCGATCCTGCTACATATGACAATTTGGACTGTTTTGCATGTAGCACAGTAAGTGTGTATGCTGCGCTTGTTGCAATGTAGTGCACTTGCTGTGAATTGCATGACATCGCATGTCCTCCTGGCACGAATTGCGGAAGGCTATTGTATAGTAACTGTTACTATTGGCTGCTAAAGGGTACCCGATAACCCGCCCGTTAAGCCACGTAGCCGTTTGCAACCTTAAAGGGTAACCGTTTCACCCCTAAATTTAAAATTGCTTGCAGAGCATGTTTTAATGTACTGTTGTGCAGCTAGAGAGATTTTCAAACACAGGACAGGACGTCACACAAGTATACGAGCGCGAGTCACCAGCTTTTCGAATAAGTATGCAGTACGAGTCGGTAGCGCGAGTCCGTGACTTCGCCGATGTTCATCAACTGATGATGTATTATTCGCAGAACATAGCCATGGAGTGACGGAATGCGACATCATCATCGCGCGTATCATCATATTCGCACGCCATTGCTCTTCCCGGTCCTGCATGGCATCGTTTCGTTTGTATCGCCATGCTTGAAGTGCTCTCTTCTCGTTCCGCTAGCACGTTGCGTTGTTTGTGGCACGCTTTCTCCTTGTGCGTGTCTTTGCACGTTCTGTACGTATGTACAAACGGACTTTACTGTTGCATGGCTGTTTTATCCCCCTCCCCCCCCCCCCTTTTGTGTGCAGTCAACTTCGCTAATAACGACTGCGGATATAATGACAATTCGCTAATAACGACTGCGGATATAACGACAATTCGCGAATACGGACAGAATTTCCATGCCCAGAGCAAAGTCCCATCTTACTGTATACATTTAACTTGGGATACAACGACTATCTGAATTACAACAATTCGCGAATAGCAGCATGCTTTTAGTGCCCCGAGGTCATTATTAACTGCTTGAATAACGACTTTCTGGGCTTTTGACAGCTATTTCAAGTACCTGTCATGCAGAAGTACCAGAACCCATCCGGAAAGATAAAGGCACACATGCAAGAAGATGCAGCCAAGGGGGGGGGGGGGTGCTTTAATTTTTATTTTGCTTCAAAATAGTTGGAGTGATCAGCACAGCTATAATGTCATGTAGTTGTATATGTACACGATATACAGAAATCATCATACATGTACATGTGCGTATTGTACATGTCCCTGTAGATGGCTCCAAAAGGCTAATTTTTCAATCTATCTCCCTTGCATAGTGGCTTTGTAATTCCTTTCATTTGTAACGTGAAAATAAAGTACACATTGACATAGAACATGAAAAGAGCTTCATTTCGATATGCATGTCATTCTATACAAAATACGGGTTTACATACATTCAAATGGGACTTCGGATACTGTAAAAGCCATTATTCTAACGAGGCGCATATATAACGATTTCCCAAAATTGACTAGTTTACGTGTACCAAAGATAACAATTCTCACTCATTCTCAACGCTCAATAGGACAGTATATGTATCGATTTCTGTATAACGACAGATTTCTCCTCGTTAACTCGTTAACTTAGAGTAGCACTTCGTTCTATATATGGCTTTTACAGTATAAGGACACTTCACGTATAAGGACACTTTTCTGATGCCCCGCCGCCGAGTGTCGTTATTCGCAAAGTTGACTGTACAGTCTTCTAGTGTTCAGTGTGCTATTTCATGCAGCACTCTAATCCATGATTCAGCATTTTGCAACAATGCGTCGCTCGCCTTCATCATGGTCTTCGTCTTTCTGTAAAAGCACTTGTTCTGGCAATATCATTTATAATATCGTTTAGCTCGGGGTAGGGGGAGTGGGGTTCAAGACACACCAGCCGCCCTGGTAGAAACAAATCAAAACGCACCAGCTGGCGAATGATCACTCACTTCAGAGAATGCAGAATTCCTCGACGTCCTTCGCCGTTCCACTCCCAATCGCACTCTTCACAGCTTGATGCAGGTCCCGGCCGCTCATGTGCTCGTAATGAATGCCCCACAGTTCTGTCACTGCGTCGAACAACTCAAACGGGCTTTTCCCCGGATAGGCTTTGTTATTGATTGCCTGCAGGTTGCGAGAATCAATAAAAAATAAAAAAAAATAAAAAAAAATTTCACGGTTCGCGTGAGACTCGGCCAAAGGCCCAGTTTTCCGCATCCGCAGGAACGCCACCACCCTCTTGGATCAAGGCGAGAATCAATAGAGAGGTTTTAAATATGCACGTTATTTCTGACGTGATGCGAAAGTTCAGCTCACGCTATTTGGCTCGCACGTCGAAAAACAACGCGAGTGACCTGCACAGCTCACATCGAAATTTGGAGTTTTATGCCAAATTCGGAGTGACATTGTGCGTTACGTTGGAAATAGCGTGCATCTTCACCTCTCTAGTAACACATGAAAACCCGACTTGAGATGAGTAAGAAAGCACCCATAATCAAGACCATGCAACTGTGGCTACTCAGTGTGAGCCAGTGTGCGGCGCACTGCCTTCGTTGCATACTGGAAGTCGACTAATATTCGGCGCATGTCTTTTGTTCAGCTATTTTCCACCCGGGGCATTTTTGGCCGAAAATTTGTTCCAGCCGAAAATTTTGTCTTGCAAGGTTCAGTGTGACAGTGTATACAAGCAGCAGCAGTACAGGTCGAAATTTAAATGTGGCCGAAAGGCGTTTTAGCCCAGCGAGGCCGAAATTTATACACGCGGAAAATGTGTAGACTTACAGTGGCTTGGCCACACCATGCCCTGTGCTCATGCAGTCAAACAGCCACCGGCGATCTCTCCCACCAGCACTTCCGCCTCTGCAGCCTCGCTTACACACAGTTAGCGGGCTCATCCCGTATCCGACCGGCATCTTGTGCAGCCCACTCACTGCAACACTGCAGCACTGTCCGCCTTCGCGGCAGCCAATCATGAATTACAACAGCCCCAGTGAGCTTCTCAGATTACGGATACCACAACACCTGGAGAGCAGCTAGTGACGGTCCTCACACCCTGATTTGACCGTAGTTGTTTCTGCGTTGCTGCTGTTTGAATACCTAAGTTATGTGAGTGTTTATCGATATGACTGTATAGATTTCATCAACCCTTGAAATCAACACACTGACATAACCCAAAAGAGAACACACCGCGTCCGGACCGCCGGCCGGGAATTCCGCTGCCAAAAGGTGCAGTCCAACACCATACACACGTTGGGAGGTCCCGGCCACAACATTGCAGATGCGTTTCAGCCTCTCCCGCCGCTCAAGGATGCTGATGGCCTTGAAGTCCACCCACTTCCGAAGTGCTGTGAAGATAGTACAAAAGCAAACGAAAACAATCAGCACTTCACACACACACACACACACAGGCATTCACTCAAGCTGCTCTTCTGTACTATTATGTCAATGTAAACATGTATCTCCTCTCCCACCCTCCACCCCCCCCCCCCCCCCCCCCCCACACACACACATACCATCATGCACGCCTACACCCACGCACACCTTCCTTCCTTCTTCCACTGCCATGACTGGCTATGTGGCCCAGTAAAGGGGCAAACGAGGAGGCGTGTTGTCCACCGGGCGGGGAATGTCAGACTCAGCGTAAGCGTGAATAGCGTTACATTCATGGCTGTCGAAAACTGCGCGTACAAGTACCACAGATGGGGGGCTTCGCCACAGGCTCCACACGCACACACACACACAGAGCCGCACGTCCACAACACGTATCTGTGTTGCGCTCTCACTGCTCAGACCTCATCTATTGGGATTGCCACGCTGCTTTTCTAACAAAAGCCTGATGAGGTTGATATTACAATTCAGTATATGCAATGTAGACCCCCCACTCCCACTACATGTCTACCATTGTTAGTCACATGACCACACTGGGTACAAGACAAAATTTATGAGTAGACAGTCATCCAAAATCCCCTGACGAATCGTGCCTAATAGCAAGAGTACATAACCCCCACCCCCAGAGTGTGCAACGCCTGATGATCCAGCGCTGCATAGGGTCTTGGTCGGGCGTAATCGGATCTTTGCGTCATAATACCGTGCACATCTGAGGGGAATCCGGGGGGGAGTCGCGGGGAATCTCGGACCAAAAATAACGGCGCCCGGCCTTGCGCTGGTATGGAGTGTTCGCACGACATCAGAAGATCCGACTACGCTCGACCAAGACCCTATGCAGAGCTGGATCAGGCGTTGCACACTCTGGGGGTGGGGGTTATGTACTCTTGCTAGGGGGTTATGTACTCTTGCTAGGGGGTTATGTACTCTTGCTAGGGGGATATGTACTCTTGCTAGGGGGTTATGTACTCTTGCTAGGGGGTTATGTACTCTTGCTAGGGGGTTATGTACTCTTGCTAATAGTCGTATACAGACATGCGCGTCCTGATACACGTAGTAGGCCATACTCGTTACAAGACACAATTGTTGAAGTCATCTGATTTGTCTATTTGGCCACACGTTTTTATTTCTATGTTTCTCGTCACCTGAAAATCTAAAAACGTATGCGAGAGGTGGAAAAAATAAAAAATGATCGAAAAATGAAAATGTTTATTAGACCTTTGTTCACACTAAAATCCACCAATACACCATGCAAAATAGCATCCATAGTTAGCAACTAGTATGTGGTAGGAGCTTCTATCGCAATCTGTGCATGTGCAGCTAGATTGCGCACAAAAAATGCCGTCCTTGCATTATGTGTCGCGCAGGCCAGGCCACATTATGTACATGTGCATGAGTGTGCTGGTCCCCACATGCACAGTCAGTGCAGCACAGTTTTTTTCTTCTTTTTTTTCTTCCAGACTCCTGGCTCGTATGCGCGCGGGTGACGAGAAACATAGAAATAAAAACGTG